GGGCCGATTTTGTTGGGTTTTAAAAAGGGAAGAATGGGTTTTTCTTGGGCTATTCATAGCTTTGTTCGAATTTCATAGGCCCATAATTACTTTTCGGCCCATTGGACTTCTTTGGATGGTTCTCGACCCAATTGTATAAAAGAATAGGTTTATGGTCCATGAAAACTAATTGAATCAATTATGGCCCAAAAAGGCTTATTGGAGTAGTTTATTCCATTTTAGGCCCAATATGGCCCAAAATGTTAAATCTCATGAAGGTGGGTTGAATTAGAGCCCAATTAAGGGTTCTAAGCCCAAACTACTCAAATTGGAAACTTATTGGTCCATTAGGCCCAATAAGGAAATCCTAGTCCATAATGGACTTAAACCGGGATTTTTAGGGTTTCCAATATTTCGTTGACCATTTGAAGCGTTTGTATAGAGTGTTTGATGGAATTTTGTTGTCATTGAATAAACATCATGCATTGCTTTCAAGTTTTGGCTACAATTTTGCCATTGTTAATGTTTACAAAAGCATAGAATTTTCCTGGTTGTGACACATATGTTTAAACAAACTCATAAAGGTGTACCAATGGAGGCCACATTTCATAACCTAGTTTTGCAAGAATCCGCTTGTATCCAAAATCTGAAGAAAAACAATATTTTTTTTGCAATTTAAAACATAAAGAAACATAAATATACAAGTGAGGGTACCTTATTATTAGTGGATATGGTCTTCAATACATAAGGGCTCATCATGTAGAAGTAGAACTGGACTTGAACTTCATTTGCATCGTATGGTTCCCAACTTGATCCAGACCACTCATAGATCTCCACTAAATATTCCTGAAAATTAAATTAATAGTTAATTAATTAATTAGTTAAGGTTTTGTTACAATACTTAGTGGAACTTTCATGCATTTGGTTGTCACGAAATGTAACAGAAATTAACTGCATTCTTTGTAGTAACTAATTTAAAAGTAACAATATATATATATATATATATATATATATATATATATATATGACATTATAAATATTTATCTAAAAGGTTATTTGTCAAGAGGTCTACCATCACAGGCAACTCCAGCAACCCTATTTAAGGTTTACGTGTTTGGCATGTCTTCCTCATCAGAGTTTCATGTAAGTCCCTCCAATTGCAGCATCATTATTGAGAAACTACAATGAAATGAAACATGGAATCAGTGCTATATGCAAACCTCATACATGTCTCTGGATAGCTTCTTGTAGTGTCCCAATGAAAAAAGAACCCTTAGTAAAAATATAATGAAATTAAACTTACAAAAAAACCTAAATTTTTATAACAGAATAAGGATTTCCTTAAATTATGATCCCTCTTAGGCGTTTTATCATAAACCTGTAAGACATAGTCAAACATCCAACTTGAAAACATCATCAAAGCATCAAAAACCCCAACGACTAAATTTATCGAGAAGAAATTGAACCAAAATTAAACAATCGAGTAAGGAATTTAAAACAGATGCAGATTCAGATTCATTACCTTAACCAACTTGTAAAGACGTTGAAAGTTGAAACAACTCCTTTGGAAATAATACAAACGATGTTACTATCACCCTTCCCCAGAATCTACCACTTGAATTTATATTCATTGAGAAAAAATATTGTGACGGTGCGTGTTTTTGTTACCATATTCGTTCAGAAGACGGAAGCATTGGAAGCGAGTAAGGGCTGATGTTGGTCGGAAAGCATATTCTTTAATCTTCAATTTGATCCTCTTGTCGTCTGGTAGTGGTCGCCTGAGTATAAATTGTGCGTGCAAGAGAATAGAATACAATGAAATCGAACTCTTATATAGTACTAACTTGACACCACCAAGCAAAACCCACAATAAGAATTTGGGGAAGAAGGCAACGTCAATAGAAATCTGCAGCAATAAATGAAATCAAATTAGGAGTAGGAGAAGTCAAAGGGAAAGAAAAAAGGTATGCTCGGGATCCAGAGGGTCACTCTTATATTCCTTATCAAATAAACCTCGACACACAATTGAGTCATGACGTATGCAGTTAATCACCGGTTGGGGAGGTTGAAGACGTACCAGGGAGGTTGAAGACGTACTGGGGAGGGGAAGCTGCCAGTTCCAACGCGAGAAGAACTGCCCAATAATAACTGTAAATTTTGGAGTTTAAGCGACTGAGATTGAAAATCAGGGGAGTTTGAACGGCTAAGATATGTTGGGCGGTTACAGACTCACCATCAACAATAGTATAAAAAATGATAAAAACCCAACTCAAAATTTAGATGGGTTTTCCAAATCCATCGATTCCTAGTAACTTCTTTTTTGAACAATTTCTTAAATACACAACGATTCACACATAGTTACGTGTTCCATAAAAAGTTACAAGCTTTTATAGCTAAAACGTTGTCACATATTGCGAAGCTTTACGCCTTATTCTCGATTTTTTTTAATAATAAATTCAATAAAGGAAAAGGAATGCAATATTGATAGAAAGAAAGTGAGGGAAAAGAAAATTTTCCTCATTCCATGTTTCCAAGTTCGAAGGAAATGAAAGAAAAATTTTAAGCTTCTGTGTTCCTAAGTTAGGAGGGAAAAGAAAACTAAAAGATTTTCCTTCCCTTCACTTTCTTCCAAAATCCGACCAATTTAGGAGGAAAATTTGAAAGAGAAAATATATGGCTCCAAAATCATTCCCTCACTTTCCTTCCATCAATTAAATTCGAGAACACGATTTTCCTTCGACATCCCTCACCTTCCCTCCATATCCATCAATATCCTTCCTTAAGTAGAACTCGGGAACAAGGCGTTAGAGAACCTTGCCCTATTTCATAAATCCAACAAAAACAAATCTTATAATACACAAAATAATGAAACATCTTACCAGTGGTGAGAGACAAATAGAGGATAGCTTTTGATTTGAACGATAAGTAGGAGTCAGCAATGTTGATCGTAGGGGTCGATCATTCATGACAGTCCTGCTGCTTTCTTCGCTTCTGGTTATCTATGCCCTAGTATACAAAAGTGGATAAGCAAACAGGAAACCGAGGCTTCAATATGACGGGAGCGACCTAATTCCATCTTCCTTCAACACATGGAGGCAAACGATGGTGGCAGCTGCTATGTGCATGTACGTAGACAAAGAGAGGGGATGTGTTGGTGTTTAGGTTGATAGCGGTGCACAGAGAGAGAAGAAAAGGCTGATTGTGGAAGGCAGAGGAACAAAGAGATGGTAGAAAGAGAGGCAGACGGAAAATCGAGGTTTGAATAAGCAGAAAGGAATTCGAAAAGAGACACGAGTCAGGACGAAAGAGATGAGTCATCTTCTATAAGGTGGCATTCGGCTAAAACCAATGAAGTCTACCTAAAACCAATGGAAAAGCATTTGGCTTGGCTGAAAACTAAACACTATTCACCAGCCTTGTCCAAAATTAATATATTAATTAATAATATATATAATAATAGAACGAGGAGATAGAAATGTAAATGAAGAAAAAGGGAAAATCAATAATTTAAATTTAAATGCAGACATGCTTTACGAGACCACCAAGGACCATTTACCTCTTCCTTAAGCAAACATATTCCTATCTCCCACTCTTAAAACTATACATTGATATATTCCACTCCACCACCCAATTTACACATCTTTCCACACGCTCGCAACAGCTTTCATTGAATACATGTCACAGATGCCTCTCCGTCGAAGAATTCCGGTCAGCCGGAGAATCAGACCACCTCATCCGTCACCTTCTACTCACCGGAAAGTAGCAACTCATCGATCGTCATATTGGAAGAAGCAATATTCGAAATCAATCAACAGATGCAACTCCGAGCCTACTCTGTTGGTCGCTGGTATCTCTCTCGCCGATGCTGGTGTTGATGTCGGAGATGATCATCGGTATATGACTCCGCCAGGTGACAGTTGCTCGATTTTTCGAACTCGGATCTCTACAGATGTATTCTCGTCGTCTCCTGAGTTATTGCCTAATTCGCCTGAAAAAAGTAAGGTAAACCAAATCAATTTCTTAATTTCTAATTGTTAGATGTCATGCATGTTCGTTTAGATTTATACACGACGCTCGCAATGATTTAATTCAGTATAATTTGATCCGAATTTGTTCTAAGCCTTAGGCTGTTGAATTAGTCGCAGATACAAATTTAACATGATGATCAACAGCGACTACTGTTTTTGATCGAGAAATTTAGACTTGAAATCAGATACTGCCGATCATAATAATTATGTAGTTTGTCAAAATTGAAGAGAATTCAAAATATTATATTAATGATCGAATATTTTCCTTAATTATATATCTAAACAAATATAGATAATTTTATTGGACAATGTAACATCACAATAACAATCACATATTATCTTAAACTACGTGTTTAAACAAATATTATATATACTTTGTTAGACCGATTAATATGGGGACATGTTAAACTAGTTATACCCTTTTCCATACAAGAAAATATTAAATTCTTATTTTGGATTTACTTCGTGATCTTAACCTAAATATGATATCATCAAATTCATTAGATGTTTCTGATTCAGCCTTATATACAAAAATTTTCTACTAGACTAGTTGTGCTGATGTAGAGTAAACTTTATGGTCGTAATTCTTAATAATAAGAATTATAATTAGAGGTCTGTTATGATCTTATATTCAGATTTATAAAAATAATTTGATTATTTCTTAAATATTTTGATATAGACATGCATGATGTCAAGCATCATGATGATGAACAGTTAATACAAAATTTGTCAATTTCTTTTTACCGACCAAAAATGCGACTTCATATCAGTCGATTCAGACATTCATGGCCGATTAAATAAATGAGATTTTTAGTCAACGTCCATGAAAATGACATACCAAGAACCAATACTTTATTATAGTTTCTGTTTCTAGCTTTAAATGTGCATTACATATCGCATATATATTTTTTCTTTTTAAATCAACACTTTTTATAATGTAATGTTGAAAACTAGGAAGACAAAATATTAAATTGAAGACTTTTGAATGATTTAAAATAGTTTCAATTTAGCTAAAAAAAATCTTAGCGTAATGCAGAGTTACAACAAAGATGCAAAAGTTGTGGTTAAGGTAATGGTTGAGGGAAGCCCGGGACCCATTCGAGCTTTGGTGAAATTGGGTTCGAGTGTTGACGAGACAATAAGACTTGTTATGAACAAATATAATGCCGAAGGAAGGAGTCCTCGAATTCATCAAGATGTCACCTCTTCCTATGAGTTGCATCACTCGTATTTTAGTCTTAAACGTAAGTGTTTTTTTTTTATTTATTTATTTAATGAACTTAATAGGAAGATTACTCTTTTTAAATATAGTATAATAGTTATATTCTAATTAAAACTTATACTGTGAACATAGGTCTGGATAAATCAAATATGATCGGAGAGATTGGGAGTAGAAGTTTCTATATGCGTAAGAGTGTGAATGACAAGGAAGATATGTGTTCTAACGGCTCTGTTGATTTAAAGATTGTTGAGTCTACTACAAACGATTCTCCAACTTTGACTTTGAATATTTTCTTGAGAGGACTTGTATGTCAACAATTCAAGAAAATAATAACAATGACGAATAAGATTTGGAGGTTCTTGGGTTGTTTTGATGGATGATTTTCGATCAAATAAAGATATGTACATATTGTTACTAAAATTTTAGAAGACAAAAATCGTTTCTACATATGGTAATCTACACAATTAAGTATGAATGAAGAATGAATTATTCTTCACTTCTTCTTAACCTTGGATATGTAATAATCCGAAACTTTGGATTTGATATTACACCAAAAAATAGGTTAGTGTCACTCAGACCTATTATTCTATATACAATACATAGAGTTCCATAAATATAAGGTTATGAGGAGGTTACATGTAGGAGCCTTACATCTACCGGGGGTAAAGAGTTTACTTCCATAAAAAGATCTAGAGGATAAAGTAACAAGCAGATAAAAAAATCATTTACACAAAATGGATCAATAGAGTATAAAGCAAACAAGGAGGTATATATATGTATTGTACTGAGAAGCTCACATAAAACAAAATGAGTATGAGATATATGTTACTCTATTGGCCTAATTCTAAACCACCATTCACCTATGTTACTCCACTACCCTAATTTTAAGTCTTCAATCCCGCATATCTACGGTTTTTTTGGGAATTGGATGAAAGAGGGGTGGTGATGACCAAATGAACGGATTTGAGTGGCTAATTAGTTATGTCACTTTCCTTGAAGACTATTTGCACTCTATGTATGGGATACTCAAATATTTGTTTAGAGTATGAGAAGTATATATATTCATGATCATGAGATCCATGAAGTGGACTAGGATGAAGAAGATAAACATTTATAAAAGTTTACAATTCACTTAACAAACAAATCGTTGGGACTAGAAGTTTGGGACCAAAAACTGTCGACCAGATAGTCAGAAACTAAGGATACCACCCAAACTAGAGGCTCCTTATAGCACCTTGTAACCAACTTTTTATATAAACTTAGATATATTTAGATTAAGTTAAAATGTTAGTTATATTATATAACTAACATTTTAACTTAATCTAAATATGTCTAAGTTTATATAAGAAGTTGGTTACATGGTGCTATAAGAGGCTAATATAACTAACATTTTAACTTAATCTAAATATATCTAAGTTTATATAAGAAGTTGGTTATAAGGTGTTATAAGAGGCCTCTAGTTTGGCTAGTAGCCTTAGCTTCTGACTATCCATAAGTAACATAATAGTATATAACTTATATACTATTATGTAACTTATGGATGAGTTTTTCCAAACCAAAGGCCACTTACAACAAGCACACTATAATCATTTTCCGCAATGGGCGCGGCACAATTACCACCACTTTTTTCTCATATAAATAATGAAACGAAACTCGTCTTATACAAGTGTACATTCCATGCCATCGAATTACAAAAAAACATCTCACGTGATAACCACCTTTCACCAAAATATCAGAATATGACCATGAAATCGAAAATAAGATTTGTCAAAATAGTCTTAGTTTTTGAAAGCTGATTCATGAGGTAAAAGTCAATTCGGAAATAACTTATCAAAAATTTAGAACCCGTGTAAAAAATTTCTAAATCCCTATAGATTTCAAAAATCTATTTCCGACGTGAAGTAATTTCAAAAATTATTTTAGGCATTTTTAAGATTATTCTGAGATGTCTTCAAATGTACGAATAAGCGTTTTTCAAATTTATCAACTGAGACATAATCAAAACAAGAGAAGCCATATGTTCAAGTAGAGAACAAGGAAGATGTTACAGGCCAATGAGACACAACATAGTTGGATGAACAGCTTCCTCACAGACGGTTGATAAAGTTGAACACCTTTTATGTTTAATTTAGCATCAGTTTTTTTGTCATTAATTATTATTTTAGTTCTCTCTCCTTTTCTTAATTGAAGATATAATTGGAAAATAAAACAACAAGTACAAAAATGAGTAATAACCCCCGGTAGAGGCTACTACGATTCAATTCAACATTTTGTTCGTTATGCATGCATTTACATTTATATGTTTGCATAGAACTTGTGGTTGGTTTTGATGTGTTTTTTTAGAGATATTGAAGATTATATTATCCGGACAAAGATGGTCAAGGCAAGAAGGGACACCCGACAGATGATCTGCACTTTTCGAAGCAATTTTTGAGCCATCTCATTTGGGATTTTCATCATTTGACCATTAATATAAACATTTTGGTATTGTTTGTTTCTATATATACTATGAGTAGTTAAGATTTTACATTCCAATATTGAGTTGGGTTTTACGCTAAGGGGTGTTTGGTTCGCAAAATGTTTTTTTTAAGTAGTGAAATTTGTCAAAAGAATCGGAATATGTTATGCATTTGGTTGACATGGAATGAAATTTGTTTTCTATTTGATTTGCAGATTTGTCAAAAGAATTGAAAATAAATTATGTAATATGACCAAATCCTCCATTTATCGACCTTTTATAACTTATTACTCCGTATTATTTTAATAAAAATGATAAAACTTGCATTAGTTAAACTCTAATCCGCTCAAACCTCTATAGGCTTGTTGGTGTGGGCATGGGCGAGTGGGGCGGGGTGGGGTGGGTGTCGGCGTGGATGTGGGTGTGGAGTAAGGTGTGTATGTGTGGATGTGATGTTAGGGTGGGGCGGGTGTTGATAGGGTATGAGGTGATGTGGGTATGAGGATATGTGTAGGTGTAGTGTGTGGGTAGGTGACTAGGTGTGAGTGGAGGTGGGTATGGGTAGGGTGGAGTGAGAGTAGTGTAGGATTTAGATGTATA